GACACTGCTACATCGATGTTCATAGCAGCACAATTCACAATAGCAAGACTGTGGAACCAACCTAGATGCCCTTCAATAGACGAATGAATAAAAAAAAATGTGGCATTTATACACAATGGAATATTACTCTGCATTAAAAAATGACAAAATCATAGAATTTGCAGGGAAATGGATGGCATTAGAGCAGATTATGCTAAGTGAAGCTAGTCAATCCCTAAAAAACAAATGCCAAATGTCTTCTTTGATATAAGGAGAGTAACTAAGAACAGAGTAGGGACGAAGAGCATGAGAAGAAGATTAACATTAAACTGGGATGAGAGGTGGGAGGGAAAGGGAGAGAGAAGGGAAATTGCATGGAAATGGAAGGAGACCCTCAGGGTTATACAGTGGAGGGGGTAGAGAGAGAGGAGGGGAGGGGAGAGGAGGGGAGGGGGGATGGTGGAGGATGGGAAAGGCAGCGGAGCACAACAGACACTAGTATGGCAATATGTAAATCAATGGATGTGTAACTGATGTGATTCTGCAATCTGTGTATGGGGTGAAGGTGGGAGTTCATAACCCACTTGAATCAAAGTGTGGAATATGATATGTCAAGAAATTTGTAATGTTTTGAACAACCAACAATAAAAAATTAAAAAAAAATCTCTATAGAATCTTTATGTCTAATCCTTAACTTAATCACCTCTGCAAAGTCCCTTTTGCCAGGTGAGGTAATAAATTTCACGGTTCTGAAGATTAGGGTGTGATCTTCTTTGGTAGACCATTACTTTGCCCGCTCCAGGAGACACCCTGGATTCTCTCCCTAATCCCCACATCCTTACCACACCAGTCATTACCAGGTGCTAGCGAGAGACTTCCTCCAAAATCATCCCAATTCCACCCAGTTCTAATTTCACTACCACTTCCCTGACTCGGGTCACTTTAACACCTTACCTAAATTACTGAGCTGGCTTCCCTAATGGTTTCCCACAGCTACTCTCTCGCCCCCCGCCCCATCCATTCTCCACACTGCAGCCAGAATGGCCTTTCTAAAATCACTCCTCTGCTTAAACCTCTCAACGATCTCCCTTTACACACAGGACCCAATTCAGAATCTTTCATCTGGCCCCTAAATCTCTTCCTGGGCAGCTCTCAGCGCCCCCACCCCTGCATGCTCATCACCAGCAGGGTCCCCTCAGTTCTTGAAGGTACCACACTCTCCTTTCCTGCTATGGTTTAGAGATGGTCTGAGTATGTTCCCCAGGGGTTCATGTTGAGAGGTGGAGGAGTTGGTTAGGTCACTGGAGGCTTTACCTTTGGAAGGAATTGATGAGATCCTGCTTAGATCTTTCAAAGGATTGTTCTAAGAGGGAGTCTGGTGCCTCCCTGTGCTCTGGCTTCTGATCTCACTGTGTGGTCACAGGTACTCCCACCATAATGCCATCTGCATGAGGTCCCCACCAGAGCCAAGCACAGGACAATGCCACACTCTCGGACCCTCCAGAACTATGAACTACATAATCCTCCTTTCATTATAAAGTACTCAGCTTCAGGTATTTTGTTACGGACATGAAAACCAGACTAATACACCTTCTCATACTAAGTGTAAATGTTGTGTTTATATTTATATTTTTTCCTCCCAGAATGCCCCTCCACTCTCTGGCCTGGAAATCACTCTCTCATCTTTCTAGTATTTTCTTAATGTCATTTCTTCAAAAAGGTGGCCCAACCTAAATCAGGTCCTCCCTCAATAGTTCCATGTTCTTTCCTTCCCAAATTTTTAATATAATTTTAATTTCATGATTATTTACTTAAGGCCCATCTCCCCCAGTAAACAATAAGTTCCATAAGAGTTGATAAAGCATTTGTTTCCTTCCCCTCTGAATCACCTGCTACTAACACAGTGCTTGGCACATAATGGATGCTCCTTAACTATTTCTATATAAATAAATGAATGTCACTTAATAGGCAGCATAACTGTAGCCAAAAGCTTCAATTTGCTACTAACTTGACATTCTGAAGAGAATTTTGTAAGAACTGTGCTTATGCTTTTTTTTTGGAGAGGAATTTTGGGGTTGAGTTTCATTTTTCTACCTGATTCTAGGATAATTATATGCACTGAAAGGTCCGGCACAATGAGTCACCAGGCCCATTCTGGGCTTTATTCATCCCATTTTATGGTATTTATCCTTTAACAGTTCTTTTCCTCGTTTTATTCACATTTAAAAAGGGTGAGGGACCCTCCCCTGAATTTCTAGCTTCCTTGTAAGGGTCAAATGAGATAATATACAAGAATTCCCTTTGGAAGTGGTAAAGCACACTATTAATGTAAAGCAATCTTATCTTTATATTCACCGCACTCTGGAACCTCAGAAAAAGATCATTGTTGAGTGAGCGTCAGTGGTTTAATCATTTCCAGCTGGGGGCATGCAAGGGAGGTTCCACCCCAAGCACCTGAGCAGCAATACTCATTTGAAGGTGAACGTTGCCCCCTGGTGGAAATAAAGGGTAGAGACACACTCCGCAGCCCGGAATTACCAGGGGTCCTGATGCCGAATGTAAAGAATTGACTATTTAGAATGCCTTTTAAAGCGACAGCTTGTTTTCTTTCTATTTTATGCTGTTTTATTTATTTTACATTGACAAATAAAAATTGTATGTGTTTACAATATACAACAGAATTTCTTGAAATATGTATACATTTTGAAGTGGCTCAAACAATTAACATCACATCATTTTTTTTTATAGTGAGGACACTTAAAATCTATTCTTTCTCTTTGCAATATTTAAGTATAAAATACATTGTTCTTTTCTTTTTGTTGTGAAATGTTCTTCTGGAAACACTTTATTTGCATATGAAAATTCAGATGTGCTAAACCAATTAGTTGTCTGGTTATTATTTAATAAGTAATTATAAATAATTAGCAATAGATAATAATAAAGAGTAGTAATAATAAATGAGTTACATAATAGACACCAAAGATATATGATTCTCTATATATGCTAATACACTGATTCTTTAATATTTCAACTTCAACAATTCAAAGAAAAATTTTATAATTCATATAATATGTTGACTAAGAAAGGCAATTAATAAAATAGATATTCATATTAATATGCCTGATAGGGTAATTATTTATATCTAAAATAGGCTCCTCATGTGGCCAGAATCTCAAGGTCACCTTGAACATCACCAGCTTTCACCTGGGAATGTGCCTCATGGCCCTGAATAAATTGTTTAGTATTTATCATCTGCAAATAAGGAGCTGAATTAAGTGATGTCTAAGGCTCTTTGCAACTTTAAAAATATCCTACAACATTGCCTAGACTATGCATTTAAAGGCTATCCCAATGCTGCCCACGGCACCAGCTGACCAGCTTTAGGCTGCTTAGACAACACTGTTCCCAGAGATACTCTTGACTGTCCTTGTGATAACACAACTACATACCTTTCTTCCCTACCTGAGCCTGAAGCTCAGAAAGCAAAGCCACCCCAAGCACTTACCCCTGCATCATGTGGCTATCTCCCTTCCCCTTTTGCCCACCATGTTATGAGGTAGCCAAGAGGATACTTGTTAGAGGATACCCACTAGACTTTCAACTTTCAAAACTATGAGCTAAATAAACCTCTTTTCTTTCTAAACTACCCAGCCTCAGCAACTTTGACACAACAACAGAAAATGGACTAATACAGAAACCTGTCTTCCTTCACCTTTATCAATCTCTTATTCACATTCTTGCCTGCTACAAGATCTCATAATGATGCCCAATCACTTAACCTGTCTTTTCCCTCAGACTCTCTCTGGTGTCACTTTCTTCTTTCTATATGATCACATAGCCATTTTCTCAGGATTAGAAACTTCTCTGGCACTCTTTTTTCTTCTTCTAAACTCGCTTCAAATTGCCAAACCCACATCAGTCTCTATTCCTTCACCAAGATTACTTCCACATATGATGTCAACACAAATGAGACCTCGACCCTCTATACTCCATGACAATCCCTCACTCACCACTGATCAGGTATTTTCCCAAATCAGTGGATTTATTCGGAACATTCTCTCTTCCTATCAGTCATCTTTGGGACATCCCACCAAACCCTTGAACCCAGTTGATCCAAGACTAAACTTGGTGTCTTCACCTCACCCCAGAATCACTAACTCAATTAATATTATGAGTTCTCAGCATCTGAAATCAATTACTAAAAGGAGTCCCCCAATCTCCCTCTGTCCTTACTCTGCAAGGTCATTGGAAGCCCATATTCTCCCAACTCTATCTTCCCCCCAACCCCACTACCTCCATCCTCCCCACCTGGACTATTGCTCTAACCTTGTCATAAGCCTTCTTTTAATTCAACCTGGTCACATCATCCTCTGCTTTTCTTAGTCTCCATTCCAATCTCTTTAGATGAACACAGAAGACTAAATGCAATCCAGCCCCTGTCTAGACCTGACAACAGATTCTGACTCCGATAGCAGCCTTTTCCTTTCTGCACTTACTTAGCACCATGTCTTTTGTTTTTGTGTTTAACACACAGCACCAAGCAGGTACTCATATATGTTAAATAAAGGAACAGGTCCTTGTTTGTGTCACTGTCCAAGGTAATAAATAGATGTTGTGTGTGTGTGTGTGTGTGTGTGTGTGTGTATTAACACACTTTGAGGGGGAGGGATGAAATATCTGTCTGTAGTTAATATCCTTCATACATCTTGGTGGTAATTGAGACCCTACTGCAGCTGAGGGTGCCCTCTCCTGATCTTACTTACCTTTTAACATTTGATCACACCCTGCAGTAGATAATGATGGCATATTCCTAGGATCCAGATGAAAGTAAAGGATGACTCACTCAAAATTAGAAGCTAAAATAATGAAGTTAATATAGAACAAACCCTATTTCAGGTGAGATAAATATCCTGAAGCAACACCCAGAGATGTTAGACATTAATAATTATTTTTTTTAATCATCCAATTATACGTAATTTCGTGCTAATCTAAATGATGCCATTTTTTCTTTTGGCAGACATAACTCACATGGAAACAGCCCCCATGACTGTATATAAAAGCTCAAAGAAACCATCGGGCGCCTGGTCCACATTCTGTTCTTTGACGGTTGCCCACAGCGGAGGCCACGTTTCCCCGCCACCATGTCGCTCCGGTTTTCTGGCGGGTCCAGGCGCTCTTGCTTGCAGTCTGGAGCTGGGTCTGTCAGACCACCCAGCGGAGGTTTGGCAGGCAGCAGTGCAGGCGGCAGCTCGGTGGCTAGCGGTGGATTTTCCTGTGCCCTGGGGATCCCCAATGTTGGGGGCCATGCGGGAGGCGCCCTTGGAAATACTGCTGGAAATGAACGAGGACTCCTCTCGGGGAACGAAAAGGTGACTATGCAAAATCTCAACGACCGCCTGGCATCCTACCTGGATAATGTGCGGGCTCTGGAGGAGGCAAATGCTGAACTGGAGAGAAAGATCAAGAGTTGGTATGAAAAATACGGACCTGGGTCTTGCCGTGGACTTGATCATGACTACAGCAGATATCACCTAACGATCGAGGATCTGAAAAATAAGGTGAGAAATCAGAAGTTGGAACTAGTCAAAGTATTTCAAAGTAAGAAATACCTAGCAAAAAGAAATATCTTGTTGTAGTTAAGAAATGCTCATGCCTGGGCGCGGTGGCGCTCGCCAGTAATCCCAGCAACTCCGGAGGCTGAGGCAGGAGGTTTGCAAGTTCGAGACCAGCCTCAGCAATTTAGGGAGGCTCTAAGCAACTTAGCGAGACCCTGTCTCAAAAAAATATGAAAGGAGGAAGGGACTGGGGATGCGGGTCAGTAGTTAAGTGCTCCTGGGTTCAATTCCCAGTTTAAAAAAAGAAAGAAAGAAATGCTTCGTGACTGTACTTGTATTTTTTTTAACTTATTTAACTATATAATTCCTCTCATTACTCAAAAATAGACACTTTGATTCCTAAATTTCCACAGAGCTATCATGTTCTTAGTTCTGTTCATTTTGAAATAGATTCATAGATAAGAAAGTATTAAAACATTTAATGTTTAAAAATTCAGTTTTAAGTGCTTTGGTTATGACATAAGGAAGGAAGTTTTATGCAAAAGTTACTTGGGTAATTTTTATTTCCTGAAATAATTACTAATAAGAGCACACTTACTTACTGTGGTCTCCCTTTTGATTTCTTCTAGATTATCTCTTCCACTGCTGCTAATGCTAATGTCATTCTGCAGATAGATAATGCCAGACTGGCTGCTGATGACTTCCGGCTAAAGTAAGTGATAGAAAATAATCATGCTCTGGGAAAAGTTTCCTAACTATTTAAGTTGTCAAATAGAATTTTTGATTTCACTCCAAGTAGAATAAACTATAACCTAAAAGATTAAAGAAAGCAAATGATTTACATTACATGACAATAAACTATACTCACAATTTATATATATTTATTACATTCTTCAAACAAAATATCCAGGCATCACTTTGCCTGCCTAGAATAGTGCCAAGGACAAAGTAGAGAGCCAGTAACAATCTGCCAACTAGGCAAAAGGGTAAACTAAAATAAAATTTCAAAATGATATATTTTTATCTAATTGGAATATGGTATTGGAATTTGTGTGATTGAATAACTGCTGGTTATCCTGTACAGAACTGGGAGGCAAGATAGGAGACTTCTTTCTCTGTATATTTTTTAATAATATTTAGAGCGCTAATTCAGCTTCTAATTTTCAATTTCAATAATTAAGGTTTTCTTCTCCCATTTCTTGAAGTAGTCTAACTTATACTGAAATAAATACCACCGCCCCCCCAAGGTATGAAAACGAGCTCACCCTTCACCAAAACGTAGAGGCAGACATCAATGGGTTAAGGTGGGTTCTGGACGAGCTGACGCTTTGCAGGACGGACCAGGAGCTGCAGTATGAGTCCCTGAGTGAAGAGATGACCTACCTCAAGAAGAACCACGAAGAGGTAGGAGAAGCTTCGCTTCTGGTCAAATCAGAATTCTGTACATTTAAAACATTTGGTGGGAGGGGTGTTAAAATGATAATAGTGATTCATGCTCATTGTAATCATTTATTCACACCAAAGCATATAAAGGAAGATTTCATTTCTCCTAATCTGCTGTTCTAACACCATTCCTGGAGGTTATAAATATTAACAATTAATCTGTACCCTTCCACTTTTCAGATTGATACAATTCTATCCACTTGAAAATAACACATTTCTTATGCATGAATATAACAATCTTTCTTTATATTCGATTATTTATTTCATCTACTTAAGCCTACCTTGAGGTCAGTTTTCTCATACAGGACCTCTCTGACTAGGAAAAGATGTTTTTCTTCCTTCCTTCCTTTTTTTTTTTTTTTTCTTGTACCAGGAATTAAACCCAGAAGCACTTAACCACCGAGCCATATCTCCAGACCTTTTTATTTTCGAGAAAGTCTTGCTGAGTTGCTTAGGGCCTTGCTAAGCTATTAAGGCTGGCTTTGAACTTGTGAACCTCCTGCCTTAGCCTCCTGAGCCTCTGGGATTATAGGCATATGCCACTGCACCAAGCTATTTTTTCTTTTTGTATTTAATGAGCCTGGATTTACTTCAATATGGAGGACTGCACAATAATAAACCCTTATTTAACATGAAATACCACGCAACTTCGATCCCCTCCCCACCCCCCAAAAAAGAGATTGTTCCAGAAATAATTGAAAAGATCTCTGAAAAAAATGGTTGACAAATTTTCAGAAACCCCTCTTGACAGGAGGTACTCCATTAATGGTTTAAAAGAGCCAAAACATCAAATCTACCTGTCCCAAATGGGAACGTTATGGAAAAGAGAAAAGAGAAGGAAAATTTTAAAAGAAAAAAAATTATTCATTTATTTTAGTTCTAGTTGGACACAGTACCTCTATTTTATTTATTTATATATGGTGCTGAAGATCGAATCCAGTGCCACACACATGCTAGGCAAGCACTCTGCCACTGAGCCACAACCCCAGCCCCAAGAAAAAACTTTTTTTTTTAAAGAGCCAGGGAAAAGTTGGACCACCAGAGAGTGTGGGCAGGACAGCCAAGAGATCATGCCCTGTAGCGGCCTCAAAAAATTGAAAATCCTGGGTTGGGGTAACCGCTCAGTGGTAGAGCACTTGCCTAGCATGAGTGAGGCATTGGGTTTGATCCCCAGCACCAATTTAAAAAAAAAAAAAACTAATTAAACAAAATAAAGGTAAAAGAAAGAAAAGAAAATCATGGGGAAGGAAGGGAAGAAATGACAACCTTAGCCAAGCAGCCAGCAGGAGACATTCCCTGGAAGGTAAGGTTCACAGCAGGATTCATTGGCCCCTTAAAGATAATATACACCTACTGAAAAAGGGTGCCTTTGAATGCACTGAGTGTAGAACTTCAAGCAACTCAATTTTCAGATTTTTAGAGCAACAAGAATTTTTTTCTTCACCACAGAATCTTACTCAAAATATGAAAATAGATTAATAGTGGTTTCCTTGATCAATGCACTGAAGGTCATAGATTTAGGGTCATAAAAAATGGCTTAAGGAAGCAGGGATATGAGTCCAAATGAAAAGGTCAGCCACCCAAAGAACTAAGTTCAGGCCGTTGGTTTGTTTCTCCGTTCAGAAACCCTTTCTCTGACTTTATCAGGCAGATTAATGATCTGCCCGGTGATTTATCCTGGAACAGAGAGGCTGTCCTGCTCAGAACAGATACTCAGGAGCCAGAGTACCATCTTCAAACTGCCCTCTTTCAAATCCTAGTGACTCAGGCGTGTTATTTCACCTCTTTGTGCCTCAGTTTCCTAATCTGTAAAATGATAATAATAATAGTAGTAGTACCTACCTTAGAGGGATGATGAAAGTCTTGAATTAGTACACATGAAGACAGTGCGTAAAACGGTGCCTGGCATATAATAATCATTCAATAAATAATTACTGCTGTCCCTAAGATGAAAGTTCCAAGGGCTCGGATTTTTATTTGTTTTTTTCCCACTTTATTTCCATCAACCATTTAGTCAACTATTATGTGGTGAATAGCTCTCTGGTCTTTGTAGTCCCTTCTCATGGAAAAGAATGAAAACCTTCGCTTTGCGCGGAGGTGGTGGTCATGGTTGTTTTAATGAACAAATAACTAATTAAATAGATGACTGGCACGAACATGGGTGGAATAAGCCAATTCCTATTTGGGGGATCTAAAGTAACGCCTCTCAGAACTCTTCTCAGGCTGCATGTGAGCACACCCGCGTTCCCCTCTAGGAAATGCAGGCTCTGCAGTGCGCGGCTGGAGGCAACGTGAACGTGGAGATGAACGCCGCCCCCGGGGTGGACCTCACGGGGCTGCTGGGCAACATGCGAGCTGAGTACGAGGCCCTGGCTGAGCAGAACCGCCGGGATGCCGAGGCCTGGTTCCAGGAGAAGGTGTGAAAACCTGCGCTTTGCCACCAGAGAGAAAGTGCGTTGTCTTCCTCTCTGACTTTATTGAGGTTCCCCTCCGGGCCGTGCTCAGAGCTCATTTCATGGAAATAACCAACTTGTGGCATAGTTCCCACCTTAGCATAATTCTTCTCAGCCCCGCAGAGCAAGTAGCAGCATTGTGGCTCCACCTGAAAATTAAGTGACAGGTCTGTAGTCACTCAGTCACATAGGGCATAGCTAGTTCATATCAGCATTTCCTAATATAGATGAAGACATATTTAAAAGACACGTTGTGGTTTTCACCAGGCAAAGGAAAAGAGGGTTCGTATCCCAACTCCACATGGGCACTCTCAGAACCATCCTTCCCACAGTTCCTGGGCAGAGGTCCCATCCCAGAGCACACACCTAGTAGAACTGGGCAGTCACCACTTCAGCACATACTAGGACACCTGGATTGCTTCAGAGATTACCATGGAGACAATTTAGGACTAAAGCCCACTTCTGGATTGTGAGTTGGCAGCACCCAAAAGCCTTGATTTTGAGAATTATTGCACAGGGTGGCCTATGAACCCCATCTTCACAAGAGGTTTTCAGCTCCCTGAGGACACCAAGTTGCAATATAAAGACAAGAACAGCTACCATAGAGATGAGCTCAGTGAGATAGAAGGAAAAGAGAACTCAAAACAATAGGAAGGGTCTTGACTTGGGTGTAGCCCAGCACCAAAATAAATAGATAATAAGTAAATATTAAAATGAGAAGTTTTTATTTAGCCATTCTAAAAAAAATGTCCGTACTCTCTTACTTTATAATATTTAGGGGGGACTTGTTTTTACCACTATCTAACCCTAAGTTTAACCAGCATGTCCCTCTTCTCACCACCTTACCACTGCTGCTAGCTGGTTCCTGAGCCTCTCCCTGCCACTTTGGGTTCCCAGAACCTTCCTCTCCACATTCCCCTTTCCCTCAAACTAGAGCCCTGAGGAACATGCTCCTGCTGCAGTAGCTCATGAGTTTCTGTTTTGAGAAATATTGAGGGAAATAAATTCCTGAGCCCCTAGATCAGAATGTAAAGCATCTGCACACAAGAAGCTATGATATTATAGAGCAGTTAGATTCTGTGCAACCCACAGTACTATGGCTTGGGGTCATGAGAGATTCCTCCCCAGAAAGCCCATTTAATATCCAACACCACTGAATTATAGAATAATGGTGGCATAGAACCTAACTTCTCTGCTTTTTGACCTAAGATAAAAATCTAAGTTCAATTTCTTATAGTTAGACAACGTAAGTCAATTGTGAGTTGGGAGCTGTCTCAATCTATTGACATTCACATTGCTTCCTGTAGTATGCAGACTCCCAAATTCATCCTGCCAACTTTCCTCATGACAGGCCAACCTTTACAGTGGAAAGCTGTGACATACGTAGAGTTGTTGTCTCCTCTGACTTATGAGAGCATTAGCAAACTTAAAAGGAGTGCCTTATGAGGACACATCTTTGGGGAAATTAAGGTTTTAAACTGCTGAGCTTTGAAATTACCTCACTTCACCAGAATCTTGCTACCCGTTAACTGAATTTCCCCTGTACCATCCTGATCAGCTTCCACCCAAACACTCCTGAAGAGTCCGGGACCCCCCACCTGACCAGCTGGTCAGCCTAACTCAGTTTCCTAAGTTAGCAACATTGGGCATATGTCTGCTACCATGATGAATATTTTATATCTACCTCTTTGCAATCCTAAAACAAAATCAATACATAATATTGATTATATATAATATTTAGCAATGCACAAAATTATTTCTAAGACTAGTGCCACCATCACAATTAAAAGGAAAAAAGAAAAGTATTTTTAAACTTGGGCCCAATCACCCCAGAAAATGTCAGACAGAGTCTTGCATCTTCTTTTAATAAATGTTTTATTTTTAGCAATATAAGAACAGGAGTCACTCCACACAAGAAAAAAAGAAAAAAAAAAATGAAAGAGTAGAAGAGGGGTGGTAGACACTCTGATAATAATGAATATCAGAAAGAAGTAATGACTGCCCAGTCATATTTCTACATGATAAAGGAATGAGGGAAATTACCTTCACTGAAGTAAAGATCACATGCCAAGACAAATTACAGACTATGGAAGTAGAAGAGAGGAAGTATAGTATTCATAAGAGTAGTGTCGAGATAATGACCTGTACTGTGTTGTGAAATGCACTTCTGGCTTTGAAAACCCACTCAGTAAGGTGTTTGTTCCATCTCAAGTGTATCCATCCTTTGGTGGATGACAGAAAGTCAAGGATGGATTAGAAAAGGAAACAATAGCACAGTGGGCCTCGGAATACGATAGGGACACAGCAGAGTGAAATTGAAATACAACAGGCAACCCAAAAATAAATATGTAACTTCAAAAAGACAAATGTCCCCATATTGATTTCTTACTATACTACCCCCAAAAGTATTTTCATATGTAGATTGGTCCTAATAGGAAGTATTACCTAAATACCATGAATATCTAGTGGGTCATTCAGAAGTCTAGTGGGGAAAGGGTTGCTTATTCCCTGTCAGGTCATCCAGCAGGCCTGTCCCCACCCCAGCCTCCAACTCCCATTTGATTATGACAAGCCCCACACATTTCCAAAACTTGCCCAGGGAGCAGTCCTGCTGGTTGCTGAGAAACATGGTACTACATAGTCCTCAGGGTGGTTTCATCCTTTGCTTTGTATCTTTGATGTCCTCAGAAACGCTCCCTGGAGTGCTCCTTGACAGAGACTGAAGGCAACTACTGCACGCAGCTGGCGCAAATCCAGGCTCAGATTGGGGCCCTGGAGGAGCAGCTGCACCAGGTCAGGACTGAGACGGAGGGCCAGAAACTGGAGTATGAGCAGCTCCTGGACATCAAGGTCCACCTGGAGAAGGAAATTGAGACCTACTGCCGCCTGATAGACGGAGATGGGAAGTAAGTAAAACCATTGGAAAGTTCCGCACTGCCCCTTAGCCTTCCACACATCCAAGCCTTTTTTTATTCCCACTGTACAAAAGCATGTCCATTTCTTGCCTCAGGGGTCCTCTGCATACCTTGTACATCACAGCATCCTCCTCGTCTGCCTTGGAGGACTCCACGTGTCCCACACAACTTCCCATCATTGTACTTTTAATCATTGCAGGTTTCAAGATTCTCCCCAACCCCCAATCCCAGGCTTCATCCTTCCTGATATGAAGTTCATTCCTAATATCACTGCTGCCCTGAAATAAATGCACTCCCAGGATCCATATATGTGTAAATATGTGGATCCTAGGGGAGTATATATATTTATCTTAAACTCTTGGATTTAAAAAAAAAATGGAATGGTTTTTAAAATTGGCCTCTCCTTAGATAATATTTAATTACTTTCAGCTCCTGCTTAATATTTTCTCCATAAGTAAATTAAGATCTGTTTTTGTCATACAAAGTTCACTCGAGCTCACTGATTCAGTGAATATTTCTTATGTAATAGTAAACAAAAATATAAAAGAATAAACTTTTTTTGGCAGTTCATGCTCCAAATCAACAAGCTTTGGATCAGAAAATTCAGGAAATTCATCTAAAGGTAATAAAATCTAATTCTGTTTCTGTTGCAGTAAATACTTTTGCATTAAAGATAGTCATACATGGCCGGCCACGGTGGCACACGCCTGTAATCCCAGCAGCTCAGGAGGCTGAGGCAGGAGGATCATGAGTTCAAAGCCAGCCTCAGCAATGGCAAGGCACTAAGCAACTCAGTGAGACCCTGTCTCTAAATAAAATACAAAACAGGGCTGGGAATGTGGCTCAGAGGTTCAGTGTCCCTGAGTTCAATCCCTGGTACCTGCCTCCCAAAAAAGATGTCATATGCTATGGCAACTGTCTATAATTAAATAATTCTAACAAAAGTACTCTGAATTGAAAGTATTGGTTTTAATTTTATCCAGCTATCTCAAATTATTATTATAAATCTTTACTTACTCCTCACTAAATAAAAATGTACTTGATGTTTTATATTACAACCAACAATGGAATTCTTTGTCATATAGTCTTTTAAGCTGAATATATGAATTCACATATGTTTTATTTCTAGATTTAGCCAAAACCACGCTGGTAAAGACGGTGGTGGAAGAGATAGATCAACGTGGTAAAGTTCTTTCATCCAGAATTCACTCCATTGAGGAAAAGACATCTAAAATAGTCAATGGCAAGACAGAACAAAGGGTTCCCTTCTAGCTCTCATTTTAGAGAAAAAAATAATATTTTGAGAAAAGATCTGGCACCACTGAATTATTTTAAATATGAGAGAGAAATATAAAACACTTTCTACTCTTAAAGTTCCTTAGCAAAAATACCTGTTTTCTTAATAACCTTTTCAGGTTGTTGGGTGTTTGGTTTCAAATAAATAAAAAAGTTGATGTGCACACATTTCTGTTTTTTGAAGACTAATAAATAATTAGTTGTGATTTTTTTCCTTAGGGAGATACTTATGGACTCAATTTTTAACTGAATTTCACTTGAGTTTTAATAACAGTCGGTACCAGCACTTGACATTAAGTATTAAACATTTACTAGGCATAATCATGAAAGCCCAAGTGTCTACACAGGCAAAGAGTCTGGGAAAACTCAGGAATTCTGCAACTGAAAAGTCCACCTCTAGATGGCGCATGCATGGCATTTTACCAATCGCCTATCTCCAGCCCTTTTGGGGCCACTGGATACTACCTAGGACAGGTTTCTCATTTAAACAGGAACGTCTCAAAAAGATCCACAGTCATTAGCCTCATGTTAATGACTTTTTTCCTAAAGCAGATTGGAAGCTTTTTCTATGAAGGCCCAGCTAGTAAATCTTTTAGATTTTGCAATCATAGAGTTTCTCTGTTCAATATTCAACTTGGTCATTGTAACAGGAAGCAGCCACAGACAAGACAAAGAGGAACAAGACTGCCTTCCAACAAAACTCTGGAATATGAATTGCAAATAATTTTATGTGTCATGAAGTATTGTAAATTTTGATTTTTTTTTTTTCAAAAACTTAAGAATGTAAAAACCATGTTTAACCCAAGGGCTGTATAAAATCACAAGGCAGGTCAGATTTAACCCACCAACACCCATTCTAGAGTTCCAAGTCTCAAAGGGTTGATGAACTTTCTGGCTATTGTGTCTTTCTACCTTAGGAAAGCAGCTTTTTTATTTCTCTACTATATGGTCTGATTCCAATGCAAAGCTCCACTGAGAGCAGGAATTCTACCTGGGCACAATCAGGAGCCACTTGTCAAAAGAAACTAACTTTATTTTTAGAACCACACACCAAACCACACAGCTCCTCAGGAAAAACCCTCAGAGCCCAACTGCCACCACCGGCTTTCCACAATCCTCTCTCTCCCACACAAGCTTCTCTCTACCTCCCACAATCCTCCTACTCTTGAGGCCGATTGGCTGGGTCACGTGGGCGGAGCCAAAAAAGTCCCCCAATGAGCAGCTCCCTGGTCTGAAAGGGCAGGGAAACAGCCCAATGAGCATCACCGCAGAGGAGCCAATCAGCTAGATGTTGCTGGGGCCGAGGAGCCAATCAGCTAGATGTTGCTGGGGCTGCTGTGAGCCAATCATCAGCCGGCAGCTGGAAGTTTGCTGGGGCCCCTTCGGCTGTGGCTCTCAACAACCCAACAACCCAACAGTCACACGGAAGTTCCTAGAAGTGGTGCAAAGCACAGGATTACAAACTCTTCCACCAAAAGTCATCAAAGAATGCAAAAACTAGAAATTCATGAGGAAATGACTTTCCAAATGTACAATGCATAGGGCCAGCTACTTATTTACAGGCTTCGGTGTTAAATGAAAATGGGAGGTCTCTTGTTCAAAACTCAGATTAAAAAAAAATGTCATTAAAGGTATTAAAATAGAATGCTTTTTCCCTTCCACTGAAGCTGCATTCTGAACTTGTGCTGGGTTTTTGTTGTTTTGTTTTGGGATCTTTTCTTTTTAAACTATTTAATGTCATTCTAAGTAAAAATAAAATAAAAATTTAAGTTGTTGCATACCTTTTACCACTCATTTTTATATTATGCAATCAATGCCAATTTTAAATCCAACCCTAAGAACATTTAACTTGTACACAGAACACTGAAATTACCCAATTCCTATCTTGTTGCTCGTATATGCAAATGTATTTTTGTTTTCCCCAAAACAGTGGGAACACTACTCAAAACAAACTTAACCATTTTTGTTTTGTTTTGTTTTGCCATACTAGGGATTGAACCAGGGCCTTGCACACGCTAGGCAAGCATTCTACCCTTGAGATACACCTACAGCCCTATTCTACTTCTTTATATATGCACATTCTACCAACATGCTCTACCCTTGATTTACTGATGAGTAAGAAAAGACTGAAAGCAAAAGGAACTCTGGGTTGCCATATCATTATTTTCAGCATACGTGGTTGGCCAGTACAAGAAAGTAAAGGTGCCATGGTAGAGTTCCTGGGTCATTCATGGTTCTTGGGAACGCCAACACCTTCTGCATTTGAAGTAAGTGCTGGTTTGCATGAAAAGCCTGGCATCTTGGGGTTGTCAGAGATCTGGCTCACTTAGCCAGAGTTGGAACGTACTGATTTTATACTCACTTTGTGTATTGCTGGACCCCTGTGCATCGCAGGTCCACCAGAATGCAACGCATACTGGCATTGCACGCGCTACACACCACAGAGGCCAACTGCATATAAACATACCTCACATACTCCTCTACTCACTCACATGCCTCATGTGGCCCATCAGAATTCACTTACAAGACACAAGTCCCAAAATAGAATTATTAAGAATTTCAAGATGGGCACAAAGAACATTAATCCAAGTGTGGGGGTCTTCTGAACATAAGATCCTGTGCGACTACACAAGCTTCAGATCCACAAAGCCATCCCTGCTCATCGTGTATGCTCATAACTCATTGATTTTTTAAGACACTGTCTTCATGGTGATCTGTTTTCCACAGCAGGGCCCAGTAGAGCACAGGAAGGGGCCTTTGCACTTTGTAGTCAGGTTGCTGTCAATGTGAAATGGCTTATAAGGAAAACAACTCCCGTGCAACATTTCTTGCCAGAAATCCCTGTGTATCTATTCAGCAAAGGAATGAATGTAGAATTAAATTCAGATGAATTTCTTTTAAATCCTGTTGGGTTCACAGGTTGGAAGGAAACATCTGGTCCTCAAGCTGTAGTCTTAAATCTGCCCTTCCTTCCTAGGAGTGTGAGAACTGACCATGGCCTTCAGTTCTATGATTTTGCTTTGCAGAATTCCAGGGCTCCCTGAATTCCCTAATGATTTTGTATTTTTCTCTGGTGCTTGAAGCTTCATGCTGCTTTTTGCTACAGTGGGTTTCTGAACTGGCAGGAATTCCAAGAAATCCATCTCCATGTGAAAGAGAGGCAATTGAACCACTGTGCCGGGGTAGTTAGTTGTTAAAGTGGCAATCACAATCTGCCATTCCATATTTTAACAAACACCCAAAATTTGTGGGAGCTCTTTGCAAGGAAGTAAATTACCACTTGCTGTAAATAACTCCCTTGGGATAATACATGGTATCTAATATACTATCAAACAGTATTTACTGATAGTTTATTTAAAATTGTGTATTTCCAGAATATGATTTTTTTCTTCTGGGGACACACTTCCCCTAAATTTCTCATTTCCTATGATTATATCTTACTCACTTTAATGAATTTTTCCCCTTTTATTTCTAATTATTTTCTAAATTCTGTCACCTCACCTCTAAGATTTACGTTGCTGCCTCTTTTTCTTCCCCCTCCTCCTTCTTCTCCTGTCATTTCTTAAAATATTTTTAGTTGTAGATGGACACAATACTTTTTTTTCTTTTTTTTATTGGTTGTTCAAAACATTACAAAGCTCTTGATATATCATATTTCATACATTAGATTCAAGTTAGTTATGAACTCCCAATTTTACCCCAAATACAGATTGCAGAATCACATCGGTTACACATCCACATTTTTACATAATGCCCTATTAGTAACTGTTGTATTCTGCTACCTTTCCTATCCTCTACTATCCCCCCTCCCCTCCCCTCCCATCTTCTCTCTCTACCCCATCTACTGTAATTCATTTCTCTCCCTGTTTATTTTCCCATTCCCCTCACAACCTCTTATATGTAATTTTGTATAACAATGAGGGTCTCCCTCCATTACCATGCAATTTCCCTTTTCTCTCCCTTTCCCTCCCACCTCATGTCTCTGTTTAATGTTAATCTTTTCTTCCTCCCTGCTCTGTTCTTAGTTGCTCTCATTATATCAAAGAAGACATTTGGTATTTGTTTTTTAGGGATTGGCTAGCTTCACTAAGCATAATCTGCTCTAGTGCCATCCATTTCCCTGCAAATTCCATGATTTTGTCATTTTTTAGTGCTGCATAATACTCCATGGTGTATAAACGCCACATTTTTTTAATCCATTCATCTATTGAAGGGCATCTGGTTTGGTTCCACAGTCTAGCAATTGTGAATTGTGCTGCTATGAACATCGATGTGGCAGTATCCCTGTAGTACGCTCTTTTAAGGTCTTCAGGGAATAGTCCGAGAAGGGCAATAGCTGGGTCAAATGGTGGTTCCATTCCCAGCCTTCCCAGGAATCTCCATACTGCTTTCCAAATTGGCCGCACCAGTTTGCAGTCCCACCAGCAATGTACAAGTGTACCCTTTTCCCCACATCCTCGCCAGCACTTGTTGTTGTTTGACTTCATAATGGCTGCCAATCTAAGTGGAGTGAGATGGTATCTTAGGGTGGTTTTGATTTGCATTTCTCTGACTGCTAGAGATGGTGAGCATTTTTTCATGTACTTGTTGACTGATTGTATGTCCTCCTCTGAGAAGTGTCTGTTCAGGTCCTTGGCCCATTTGTTGATTGGGTTGTTTGTTCTCTTATTGTCTAATTTTTTGAGTTCTTTGTATACTCTGGATATTAGGGCTCTAAAAATAAGTGTGAGGTGTAAAGATTTGTTCCCAGGATGTAGGCTCTCTATTTACCTCTCTTATTGTTTCTTTTGCTGAGAAAAAAATTTTTAGTTTGAGTAAGTCCCATTTGTTGATTCTAGTTATTAACTTT